TTGCATCTAAGTTGCATTGCAATGTCAGAGGTTTACACAAACTTTGAGTCAACACTTAGGTATTTCACAAAAACACATTCAGAATGTTTTGCATGTTATATACAAATCAGCCTCTGTTGCAGGTGATGGTTATTTTTCATCATATGCCCAGCGTACCTACTGTGGCCTACTGGGTTATACATCTTAATTCTGGATGCATGCTATTCAACATACTAACCTACCCCAAAAATCTTCTGCAGTTGCAGTCTGACCGTTCACATAGTCATCAACGAAGTGTTCCTGAACACCGTGTTCCTCTGTGCACCTCATGAAGCCCCCCATGACATTTGACTGGCACTGGCTTGGAGGTGTCAGTCCAATACGAGTTAAGACAAGTCAGCCAGAGAGAGTCAGGGGGAGACCGGAAGCCTAGCAGGCTGGCTTTCACAACTAAAGCAGGTTCTGTTACGTTTGCACCTTGTGAAGATTTAGTTGAAAATCAAATACTTTATGGGTTATTCCAGTACGTTTTACTCTGAGCAATGGCCAGTTGAATGGTGACAACTATTGTGTTTCATTGCTGATCTTTACTCACTGTGACAGAATAAGAAACTCATCTCCCCCACTATTACGGGCACTAGATGCGTTTGACCCCCTCCTATCACCCAGAACTCACCGAGCAACTGCAGTGGATACTGATGTTAAAAGGATGTCTGTGCATGTCTTACGCTTGACATTCAAAAATCGTTTTATCCTGGAAATCTTTACCGGAAGTTCTGTTTTTATTCTGCCAAGCTTGACAGCGGTGGTAAAGCTTGACTGGGCAACCTCAGACAGGTGGAGGAGGTGTCCTTAAGCCGCCGAGCTGCACCGTGGTTGCACCTGATCGGGCAGGACTGGGCTGGGCTGCTGGATGAGCAGCGGTGCACGCTGTGCATGCTTGGTGCGCGGATCCTCCTGCAGCTGCTTGATTCACAGTATGACACCCGCTCCAAAACGTGGTTTGGCTGATTCTTCCCATCCTGAGCCTTCGCACACATGCTGGACGCTTAAATTGGACACGAGGAGGACGAGGGATGTAGTTGCAGTGGATTAATGAGAAATGCACATGGACTTGGATTTTTTTCCTGAGGTTATCGGCTTCGAATATCTATCACCCTGCCTTGGCCATGGAGAACCCAGCATCTGAGCCGCAGAACTATGAAGATGTACAGAAAAGCGGGTACCTCCGCAAGCATAAATCAATGCACCGGCGATTCTTCGTGCTCAGGGCGGCCTCGGAGCATGGTCCTGCTCGACTTGAGTATTATGAGAACGAGAAGAAATTCCGCAGTAAATCACCTGTGCCCAAAAAAGTCCTGAACCTGGAGACGTGCTTCAACATCAACAAGCGGGCAGATTCCAAGAACAAGCACATGATAGTCCTTTATACCCGCAGCGAGAGCTTTGCCATCGCTGCAGACAGCGAGGAGGTCCAAAATGAGTGGTACCAGGCAATGCTGGACCTTCAGTGCAACTGTAAGCCATGAAGAGTGTGATGTGATTCCTACTGTCTGTCTCTGCATAAGGCCTGTCCTGCCGTAGGCTGTTTGTTCTCCATACACTATTTGGCTCGGCCATTCCGGGGTGTTTAGCTCACATGATGGGCTCGAATTGTTTGAATATTTTTACTGCAGCTCTAGTTTGTCCATTTGATGTCAATAAATCAGTGTAAGTAATGTTATTTGGATGGTGTATTTTTTAACCGAGGTGCAGGTGGATCGGACTGAACGGGGTAGACCAGCACTATGGGCGGCATGTGTTTGTGCAGCACCGTCTCAATAAGCACTGGTTTAATACAGTTATAAGCTGCGGATCATTTTGTCTGCAGAATGCAATCTGATGCATTAAATAGCACCTACATGTAATAATGTTTAGAACATCGCCTTTTCTGAGTAAAACGCAGCCCGTTTCATACCACGGTGTATTTTTGCATGGCGCAGTGGGCATATAGCAACCATCCAAGGGATGCATCATATAGTAGTAGCCTATCGTTGTGCACTCCGCTGGAGCCTGTGTTTTTGTTTTTCTGCACAGCTCTCACTGCCGTTCGCCTAACCTACATTTTTGTTAAACGGTGCTGCTGGCAGGGAGGAGATGGCATCGTCAGTGCGCTCTCAGTGGAAAAGGTGTTTCTGTTGGTTATCCTCGTGTTTACGTTGTTATCCTTATGCTGGAGCTGAACACCACTACCCACCTTCCCCGTTGTGCTTTGCATTTCAGTGAGTTGAGACTGACGGGCTTTCCCAGCTTTAAAGCTTTAATGTTGTCATGTTGTGGACCTCTAAAGAAATACACACTAGTGTACAGACCCCCATTTTGTTGAGATGATGTCTCATAGACAGATACAATAACACACTATTCAAATTTTTAATTTAATTTTAGTGCAAAATGTGCAGAAGGAGATACAAATGGAGACTGAAACATCATATTTTTCTTGAAGAGGGGAGCACACCATTAGTTGATATATAACAGGGAAAAAACAGGGACTGTGTGATATGAAAAAATGATAATTCTGCAATTTATCACGTGATTGGCACTGAAATAAAATGCTGCATTGTTTCACAGTCAAGCATGGTCCTTTTCAGCAGATGTGTTCTGTACCTCCAAACACTGGTGATACATAAGCAGCAGCACAGCTGCTTGACATACACATTATTATTATTATTATTATTGTATGTTGCAATTTAGTAATAATAGAGAAACATATCATAGTGTGTTTTTATGATGTAGCATGTTTTGTCATTCAGTTGTTTTAATTAATTTATTCTTTATTGTTTTCCTAGGTAAAACACCTGAAGACTATGGCAGCAGTGGAGAGTGTAGCTCTCCGTCTCCTGTTCCAACCTTCAAAGAAGTATGGCAGGTCAAGGTTTGGCCTAAAGGTCTTGGACATGCCAGGAACTTAGTGGGAATCTACAGGCTGTGCCTAACTGACAAAACAGTCAACTTTGTCAAACTCAACTCTGATGTGGCCGCTGTGGTGTTGCAGCTGATGAATGTTCGCAGGTGTGGCCATTCAGAGAATTTTTTCTTTATTGAGGTGGGTCGGTCAGCGATTACTGGCCCTGGGGAGTTCTGGATGCAAGTGGATGACTCTGTAGTGGCCCAGAACATGCACGAGACCCTGTTGGAGGCCATGAAAGCCTTAAGTGAGGAGTTCCGTCAGCGCAGTAAATCTCAGTCTGTGGGAACATCATGCGGCGGTGGTACCGCTTCAAACCCCATAAGTGTGCCGAGCCGTCGTCATCATCCAAATCTGCCACCGAGCCAGGTGGGCTTCTCCAGACGAGCCCGCACAGAGACCCCTGGAACAGGAAGTGGCAGCACGAGCACCTCACCAACATCACGCCACGGGTTTCCAAGGGCACGAACAGCCAGCATCGGGGCCAGGTCGGAGGAGGGCGGAGCAAGTGCCAAAGGGACATGGGCGAGTTCTAGCCCAAGTCTTAATGGAGGATCCTGCTCAACTACACCAACACTAAGGCCCAAGCCCACCAGGGCCCCGACCCCGGCTAAGATTACCCTCAGCCTTGCACGTTACACACCGAACCCTGCTCCCTCTCCTGCACCAAGTCTGTCCTCCAGCTCTGGCCATGGCTCAGAGTGTGGCCTAGTGGGGGCAGCAGTGGGAGGCATGACGGTCTGCTCCTACCCTCGGGTTTCTCAGAGAGTTTCTGTTTCAGGTTCGCCAAGTGACTATGGCTCCTCAGATGAGTATGGTTCCAGCCCTGGGGAACACTCTCTGCTTGTACCCAGTCTCTCTGGACATCATGTACATGGAGAAGGCTCATCCAGCTATATAATCATGGGACAGCGAGAAGGTCTCCTTGGTTCCCATCATCGCTCCAAAGGCCGTCGAATTCTGCGGCGCTCATCCAGTCGGGAATCTGAGGCAGAACGCAGATTACTGAGTAAGAGGTCTTCCTTGCCTTTGGCAGCACATGACCGGCTGGCCCCACATAGAAAAGATGAAGATGATGAAGATGATGAAGAATATACTATCATGTCACAAACTGCTAACAGACAAAGAGCTGATTTGCACTGTGGCTCAGGGGGTCTGACAGCTGGGGGTGGGCAGCTCAATGCAGTAGGGGACAGTAGGAAGAGGGCTGACAAAATCAGGGGAGAAGTGGAAAGAGCAGCAAAGGATAGTGGCTATATGTCAATGCTGCCTGGAGTGGCATCTCCTCCTGTTTCACTTTCTCTCTCCATAGATATGTCTGATCCTAAACCTGGGGCAGATGATGAGTATATGGCCATGACCCCCAACAACAGTGTGTCCCCACCTCAGCACATCCGCCAGCCCAGCTCAGATGGCTACATGGTCATGTCTCCCAATAGCAGCAGCTCCACAGACCTGCATGGACTGGGGATGTGGGATAGCAGGGTCAGCATGGAAAGCCGGGCTGCCAGTGACTACATGAACATCTCACCTGTCAGCAGCCGCTCTGCCTGCAGCACACCACCATCCCACCCTGAGCAGCACCAACTGCAACCAAAAATGTTCAACTCCTACTTCTCCCTGCCTCGAGCTTATCAGCATACTCTCTATTCTCGCTTCGAGGAGGGCTTAAACAAAGTGGAAGGAAAAAAAGACAGCAGTGGGCATGATAGTGCAGGAAGAGGAGGGGGAGTGGGATACAGCAAGAGAAACAAAATTGCAGTGAGCTCTGCAGGAGGCTGCCAACTTTCCATGTCATCGTCTTCTTTCTCCTCCAGCTCAGCAAGCAGTGAAAGCCTGGAAGACAAGTCCATATCAGCAGGGAGAGGGTTAAGTTTGTTAAGAACTGGGGCAGAGTATAAGAGTGCAGGAACATGCACAAAAGATGGGCGTCACCATCAAAAACGTGGCTCCAGTAGTAAGAGCCCAAAGCAGCAAAGGAGGGGACGTCCCCTAAGCATGTCTTCAGACATTACTAAAGCCAACACCCTGCCCAGGGTGAAGGAAAATCTGCCACCATCTGTGTCCCAAAATGTTGGTGAGTATGTCAGTATTGTGTTCAAGGAAGACAGTAAGTATGATGGTGGACGATGTGCAGGGTCTGAACTTGGACAACCTGTTATCTATGGAACCCTCCGACCTTTGAATCAACCACTCCTCTGCCATGATAATCCTGCTAACCTTCCTCGCAGCTTCTCTGCACCATTGTCCACCTCTGCCGAATACGTCAGCATGGATTTAAGGAAGCCCTCGCCTCCTCTGACTCCTGTTAGGTCCACATTCAGCACCCCACAGGGCCCACCAGCTGTTGCCCCCAAGCCTCGACGTGAACACAGCACAGCCTCTCCTCTGGCAGCAGAGGACAATGCCGGGTACAGAACAAAAGTAAAGATGGTAGCGATAGCGCCAGAAGTTCCTCCTTCATTTCCAGAGAACAAAGGTTCAGATCCCAGCATTTCAGCCAGATCTGCCATCCTCTGTGGTCAACCCTTATCTGTGGAACAGGAGACAGGTTTGAGTTTTTCCCCAGTCAAGTCCTTCCAGTCTCCTGAGCGGAGTGGCAGACTGGTTCGAGCTGATCAGCATGGACGGCGGAGCCACCGCTCAGATACGTTTAACTCACCTCCTTCTTTACCACACCACCAACCCTCTTCTACCTCCCTCTTCCCAGAGGGCAGTCAGTCTGCGAATCATCTGCATGATTTGGACTGCTCGCTGTGGGAGAACGGGCAGGCAGCTAGTTTGTCTGCCACACCTCCACCACAAGCCTCCACCTCATCTGCTGAACAAGGCCTTAACTATATTGACCTTGACTTGGCCATCAAGGAGAACCCTCAAGCCGGTGCAGAGTGTACTTCTGCCGCCTACACCATTGGAGGAAGTGCTATGGGTAGTAGTACTGGTTCCAGCCTCAACACTTATGCCAGTATTGATTTCTGTAAGTCAGAAGAACTGAGAGCACACCAGAACAGTAGAAAAGATGGTCAAGGTAAGTGCTACTGGGACTGCAGACCCATCACAAATTAAAATATCTATTAAAAATGGACCATTTTGATTCTAATATATGAGATCTGACTGAAGTATATTTTGTGTTCAGAAAATATTCCAAAAGAAAAAAAGTTGGCAAGACTTGGCTAGGATATTTAATATTTATTGACATAGCAATTGATAAAATATAGTATAGTATAAAAATATTTCAAAACCACAATACAATTGTTTGACTCCGAAATTATTTCTTGTAAACACCCACGTGTTGATAACCAGCTCAAGTGAACTCTGATTTTTAGGCTTTCTGTTGAAGAGTTACAATAACAAGAACTGTTTCCATCTTTGTTTTCTGAAAATAGCATATTTTCTGTAGAGCTGCAGTGTTTAGCTGGTCACTCTAACTTGATCAGCAGAAAATATCTCGGTAGCTGTTTTAATCAGTTCATTGTTCAAATTGCATTTCAAACTAAAAAGCCAAACAGCTCTCTGGTTTTAGCTTTTTAAATGTAATGATGTGCTGTTTTTCTTTCTCATATATTAAGGTAATATGAGTAGCTGGTTTTTGGACTGATGGTCCGATAAAACTAGGTACTTAAAGATGTCACCTGACATTATGGTAAATTGCAAGAGGTGTTTTCAATGTTTTCTTACATTTGGACAATTAAGAAACTAATTGCAGGATTAACTGATAATGAAAGTAAAATAAAAATAATAACAATCATTAGTTGTAGCCCTAATCTTCTGTATTTTTTATTTATTCATCATTGTCATTGATGACAGTCACATTTTAGTCAAAATGATGCTGCTCTTATGCATCATTTTGTCATTATTGCTGGGACAATTGGTCCATTAATCGATTAGTTTACCACAGGAAAATTAATTAGCAGCAATTTAAACAATTGATTGATCATTTCAGCCATTTTTCAAACCTAGAGGTCAAAATTAACTGGATTTAAAGTCTCACATGCAAATATTTGCTCCTCTGTGGTGGTCAACTGAATGCATTTGGGTTATAAACCAGTGGTCTGACAAAACAAGCTGTTTGGTCTTTCTTAACGTTGGCTTTAGAACATAGACTTTTTTCACTATCTTCCTGCATTTTTAAATGTTTATTTGAGAAGACACCTGACTTAATGATCAGTAATGGAGATAGTTGCAGCTTTCAATGGCACAAATTTTTAATAATGAGTGAAAGGAATATTTGAAAATAGGTGAAAGGAGAAATTTTACAATTCTATTTGGCTGACTGGAGGCAAGATTTTTATGTGATGTGCATAGTCCACAGACAAAACATGTCTCCATCTTAGTCCCTCCTTCTGTTTTCATTCTTTACTGATGTGTAACTCTGCTTCAAGTTGGTGGACAGCACTGTTTCCAGGCTGTGGGTTGTCTGTAGAGTCTCTTATTATCACAAGTGGGTGTTCTGAGAGCAAAGCCAATTGATTTGTCTGCTGGTAATGAGCCATTTCACATAAATGGAGGGAGCGGGGTCAGAATATGAGCCAGGTGTTTTAAGTTTATGCGTGGGCGTGCTGACGGCTGCAGGACTTCATATTCCAGCTCTGAGGTTTCCCCTCACGTTGCACAGATAACATTTATTTAATGGTTAATGTTGGTGGCTAGAGTGCATTTTTGATGGATGTACACTGAAGCACATTAGAGATCCACTGCTTTTACATGTGAAGAAATGAGTATGTTAAAATGGAAATATACTGGTAAATATTAATCAGGGGGCTGAATGGAGCTTGTGCAGCTCATTTATTTGGACCAGCTACAACATTTGCATGATTGATTTATCTAATGCTATATAACCTCTACATGTACATGTATAAGCATAATAATTGCCTGATTATTTCCGTTGGGGATAGTATGTTTATGCATAGCAAGGCGAAGAAGACTCTTTTAATATTTGGTAAATTACTCTTTCATACAATTTTCACACTGAATTTAATGATTGAAATGTGCCTCTTGTCCTGTAAGATACAGTGTGATCCCACGTTCATTAACTGCAGTGATTTTCTAGCCATGGAGCTCAATATATGAAGCCTGGATATAGGGAGGGTGGTGGCTGTACCGCAGGTAAACAGGCTTGGTTCTCAAATGTCCAATCAACAGTCAAATAATTTTATTAAGAGGTTACCACATTATTCTACCTGTCCTAATTTCATTTTAACCAGATGTAAGATTAAATGTCAAACAAATGTAAATTAAAGGTAAATATGTTCATTTGTGCCATATGTTTTAATTGCAGTATTGTCATAAGTGCATTATGATCAAAGTGTTTAAATGTTCGTTTGAATGCAGCTTAAAATCTCTTCAATTATAAAAATTACAGTATTTATTAGTGAACAGCACTACACAGTTGCCACTTTATTATCTGGCACACTTACAGTAGCTACACCTCACTTGATCCAGCTGTGTGATCATTACTGCTGTAGGATGTCGTTTGTGCTGCTGTTGAACTGTACTGTATAGAGAAGTGTTTCTGTTTTTATTCTAGCCTCAGTGATGTAAATGCTGTGGTCAAAACAATTGAAACACCTGTCAGTACAACACAGTTCAACAGCGCCACAAATTACTATATCCTATAGCCATAATGATCATACAGTTGAATAAAACAGCTTAAAAAAGGACATGATCACCTTCATGAAGGAAAGATTTCTTGCAGGACTGTGTATATATATACACAGATAAACGTATCTTCTTCCGCTAGATGACAAAACAAGAAATGTCGTGCAGAAAACATACCTTTCATACAGCAGTGTAAACAACCAAGTGGATGGAGCAAATGGTTAGACTGACTCGGTGCTGCTCAAACCAAAGCTTGAGTTATAGTCACTCATGTCTGAGCTTCTCCTGCACTATGAAATATTAGTGGTTGCATAGGAAGATTATTCTTTAATAAAGTTTCTTTTATAAGGTCATTCTGCTAGCCCACATTAGAAAAAATGGAATTGCTAATGATTATGATGGACAGATGTTTGCTTGCTGCCACTGGCACAGTCTGAACTCGCATTACACTGAGCTGTATGTTGTTTAAGTTGCTCATGATGAGATATAATATTGACATCTGCAACAGTGTGCATAAGACACCAATCAGAAAATCATTTTTGAAAGATATCATGCGTCATGTGATATTTACCCAAGCAGCTAGCAGGAGCTCTAGATTAAACACCACTGATATGCTTTGAATCCAGTCTAAACTGCCCTGCCTTCTATCCCTTTTTGTGCAGGGAGACTTAGATTTACTGTGAGTGATCAAGTAAACTATAAAATTAGATAATACTAACACTTTAAAACAGGGGTTTTCAACTAATTGTGGCCCAGGGACCATCATCCTGGCTAAGAAGTAACATGAAGCCCAGTGTTGTGGGGTGGATGAATTGGTGGGCACTGTTTTAATCTTAAAAGTCACCTTGGCTCTTCTAACTTGTATACACAAATAATAAGTAATGCATGGAAACATGATACGTGATTCCTATAGTAAAACTACATTATTGATCGTATGGTCAGGTGCCACCTACAATGCCTTCGGGGACCACCAGGGGGCCACGGAGCACTGGTTGAAAACCCTTGCTTTACAAGACTCAAGTCACTGTGAATAGCAGGAAAACCTTTGCGGCAAAAATGTATGATATATTTCCTCCCTGCTTTTGACTCATTTCTTCCAGACTGTTGATCTCGGTCCTCGTCTTCGATCTGAGTGTGACGCCAACGTGACATCTACACGCTCAGTCTGCAGGGGACAGTCGGTGGCGCTACCTGTTGCCACATCAAAACTGTACACTGGAGTCCAAACCCTGAATCCCTGGCAAACCCGTCCCCATCCCGTCTGCTGTTCTCTGTCAACCAAATGTGTGCCAAACACACACACACACACACATACTCACACAAACAAACTCACAGACACAGGGTAAGGAAAAAGTTTTGGTTTTGCCTTCTTTTGAATGAAAATGACATTTGGTCATCATTTAACTTACCACAGATATAGGATGACAGTTTGATACATGACTGTGTGAGCTCTCAGGTGGCCGTTAACGTTGATCACGGAGGCTCTGAAACAGCTTTTCCAAGGCGTCATTTAACTTGAGCCACCTGATCACAGCACTCTAACAGTCACAGAGACAAAGTCATAGATCAACAAAGCTTTCAGGGAATAGCACAAATGTCAGAAACTTCCATCTGTGTTACTTCATTCAAAACACATTTGCTTGTGATTGGCGCATGAGCCAGTCTATTAAACTCTAGTAAATTAACACTCGAAGTGGCAGCTGTATTGTTGACACAATGTCCGCTTTTATTTATTGGGTCCTCGAGGTTTTTGTTTTTATACGTCATCACTTCAATCTTTGTCCACGTTTTAAGTTGAATGATGGTCGGGTGTCACTTTGACTCAAAATAAGACGGAAAATACAGCTTGACAGAGGTTTCATACACTCATACACACTGTCACTGTAAACATATATGATTTATTACATAACTTTGCCTAAAAAGCCTTTAAACTGTTGACTGCTTTTTGCTTGTGCTACTGAAAGGCCTCAAAATGTGCTTAATTTCAGAGGTATAATATGGCACATTTCATTAAATTGGCAGTGAAATGATTCCATACAAATGATAAGTAGATAGTTCAGAAGAAAATCCCACACAGTTTGTTCAGTCTCTGTGAACGTTGTAGGATTACAGGACATCACACTTATTTCTCCCCAGAGCTGACCAGCTGATCTTTAGGTTGTAGATGAGGGATGAGAACAATGGCTTTGTTTTTATCCTTTTAAAATTGGCATTCTGTGTTTTTCACAGAGAATCAAGTTCTGTGCCTAAATCTCCAGATGTGCCCTCACATACATGTTTATCATGTTTACAGCCTCAGCTTCAATTATGCTTAAACTAAACATGTCCTGTGGCTGATTTTCAAATGGTGCCAAGTTGATGCATCTCAGTGGTTTTATCAGACATTTGGTGGATTCACTTTTACATTGTGTGGTGTTTAAGGCATGAAGAAAGTCTGTCTGGGATGCAGTCACACAGCACGTATTCCTTCCTCTTTTAAAAAGATTACTGTGATGCATTATAAAATTAAAAAATATATGGCTGAGTGTATTTATACACTAACATTTCAAACCTAAAATCCCTGTAACTATGAAACAAACAAAAAAAGTCCTTTCAAATGCTGCACGTGCTGGGGGTTAGCTGCTCCAAATAGTATTAAATTAGAATTTAGACAAAATCAGAACCATCTTTGTGATGCAATATAATTGTGTTTTACAAAATCCAATAAAGGTCACAGGAAGATTGACTCTCCTCCCTCTGCTCTGACCCCCTCTTAGCCTCTAACAGTTTTCATACCGTCCCTAACTAAAGCACGTATGTGCTAATAAGATGAGAAAATGTGATGAAGAATTTTAAACTTTATGATTGTCTGCAATTAGCTTCCCATGTTAGTATAAAATTATGTTGCATATTATTCTGCTGTTAATGCATTTTGAGGTAATGTGTAGCACAAAATGTGTGAAAAAAGTCAGTTTTAATGCTTTTTTGGCAACTGTACTTTTTTTATTATAACTATATTATCCTACAGTATATACTGTCACTTACAGAGACTATAGTACATGCTGTAGTTTGTTTTCCTTGTTTGCATAACACTTAACACAATTTTAATATAAAGTAACACATTACAATGGTATATACATAGGATATACAGTATACATATAATGATTAATACTCTATAGCCTAGATATCTATATACTCTTTTATAAAGTGCCTCATTTTTGATTGTAGCTGTTTTTACACAGGTAATCTTTGAAATGGGTTGTGAAAATTGGAAAAAAAAAAAAAGGTGTTGTTTCTCTCCTGAGTCAAAATTGTGCATCTGTTGAACTTTACAGAAGACAAACTTGTATTGCCATCAGTCAACCATGATCACATTGCCTTACTGTGTTTAGCAGAGACATGGAGACAAAGAATCTATTTATTTATTCATCGATCATCTATACCGCTTATCCTTGGATAGGGTCATGGCGGGGGGCTGGAGCCAATCCCAGCTGACACTGGGCGGAAGGCGGGGTACACCCTGGACAGATCACCAATCCATCGCAGTGATTATGGACATTATTATTTCAAAGTGCTATTTTTCAAAAGTCAGTTTTTATTTCATAATGCCTTTTATGTCCCATTACTACAGTAGCCTAGATGGGACATTATGTTCATGCTGCTGTCTGTGACTCTGCAATATATATATTTTTTTTTTTGAGTCTCTTTCACTCCGTAGTTTCAAACTCTGGGACATATCCACTTCAGGCCCTTCTGACTTTTTTATTATTACTATTGTTCACTACCAATCAGCCACTTGTTCAGTGTGAAAGCTGACAGCCTGTTGCAGATGGGAAGATCACGCATCTGAAACTGACTACTAGTGGCCACTGTGCAGCAGCTAGTTCACAGAAAACATAGCAAATACATCTTGTACATGAGGATTCTAAAGTTGACAGATTTTAGTGCATCATTTTTTAGAAATTAGACATTCTGGAAATTAATACCATTGGTTTTTTTTATTTTTTTTTGTGTTTATAAAAGACGGGTTGACTGATAAAACAGGGTCTTATTCAGTATTAGACAGAAAATTAAATATGTACACTTACAGTTTGCAGTACATTTTGAATCCCAGAACAAACATGAAAGGAGGTGACTTCAGCTCCTCGGAGCAGCCAATACTAGCAGCTGACTGCCGGCTAAAACAATATTAACACTCTTGTGTATCGCTCTTCTTATTTGGATGTGGATTCCGCTCCCAGCAGGTGTGAATAGCGCTATGTCTTTCTCACTCTCTTCTCTCTACACTCAAACGTGGGACTTGGTCTCAAGTATG